GGAAAGAATGTCTTCTGTTTGTCATTTGGTGCTTATGGGTCATTCAATATTGACTTTTTACAGGTTGTTCTTTCCTGTTTAATAAACAGTAAAGGCCGCACGACTCCGGGGACACCTGGGAAGTGAACTTCACCTCATTGAAAGGGGTGTGTTTCCTGTTATGTTTATGATCAAGATCCCTACAATTTCTTTTTTCCATTTTATCGACGTGTCCCTTTAAGTACAAAAGCAATATCTTTATAGCTCCCATCAGATGGCGAGCTAATTACTCTAAACCGAAGGAATAAACCTAAAAATGCATGTGCGCTATGACCCAAAGAGATTTCAGCAATACACACAAAAAAATCATTTTGGCTGCCTGCTTATGAAAGATAACAAGTTCTTGTTTATTTTGATTGAGAGGGCTGCGAGGTTAAGTTAATTAAGGTCCTTAAACGACAGGCTATTCTAAGATCAATCTGCCTATTTGGCCAGTTGTAACAATTAAATCGAATCAATGCTACCATGGTACTGATTGTTCAGAAATTAGCCACTCATCCGGTTGTGAGGAGAGTGGGGGGGGGGAATTTATATCAGTTAATTCAGTGACAGCCTAAATCATGCCACCTGGAGGACAACAGTGGTATGACTCACAACTCCCTATTCGGAGCAAATGGGCTTGCTCACTTTCCTCTGTGTGTTCTCATCACAGCTCAATGACAATGGGGTTTCCTTAATTGTAAAGATTTAGTTGCCTGCTATCTCATAGCCCAGTGGTTCTCAACCTTCTGGCCCTTTAAATACAGTTCCTCATGTGGTGACCCAACCATAAAATTATTTTCGTTGCTACTTCATCACTGTCATGTTGCTACTGTGATGAATCGTCATGTAAATATCTGACATGCAGGATGGCCTTAGGCAACCCCCATGAAAGGGCCGTTCGACCGCCGAAGGGGTCGCGACCCACAGGTTGAGAACCGCTGTCATAGCCAATATCATTCTAAGCTAAAATCCAGTCTTTATTTATGAAGCCTATTTAGAATATCTAAATGCTTCATAGCAAAATACGTCAGCACGTACACTTGCAAAACTTACGTCCTTAAGTGACAATAGCAGCATAAAAGGACAACAGCCACCCAGCAGGAGTGGCTCCAAAAAGTTTAAGGAATTTGTCAAGGACACGTAGCTAAGAAGCGTCCACACGGAACTCTGCACTCAGTTCTGATCGCAAAGGGATGCCTTGTCGTCTAACATTGGATACTATTTGCAAGAAAGGGTTGATGTAAATAGGATTTCACTTAGTTGTGCTAAGGACCCAAATATGGCCGCTGGGCCATGCAACCCGGCTGTTTCTCCCATTTGTAGAGAAGGTCGAGATTGCCTTGAACCTTGTGCGCTGAGCTTTTATATTTATAACTAGAGTCCCGGTGCATGAATTCATGCATGGGTGGGGTCCCTCAGCCTGGCTGGCAATTGGGGCTCTTTGGGGCAGTCTCACCCAGTCCTGATTGGGGCCAATGAGGGCTGCCTGGCCGGGGAGGGACCATGGGAGGTTGGCCAGCTGAGAGGGACCACAGGAGGGCTTCCAGGGAGTGTCTGGGACATCTCACCCAGTCCCGATCAGCCAGACCCCAGCAGCAAGCTAACCTACCAGTTGGAGCATCTACCTTCTGGTGGTCAGTGTGTGTCTTAGTGACTGGTTGAGCGGTCGACCAAATGGTCAACCAATCAGCCGGACACTTAGCATATTAGGCTTTTATATATATATAGATATAGCTATTGTACAAAGACAAACGACATAGCAACAGCCCCAGTGTTATACTTGGTGCTGCTCAGCATGTCAGGGTGACTGTCTGGCTACCTCGCCATGTTTTGAGAGCTGATGTCAACCCCTTGTTGATGTCCACTCCGTGGACAGAAGATTGAAGTCTAGATATGCAGGCGCAAAGTGGCAACTGTCTGGTAGCCAGAAGGGGGATCAACAGCTGCGGGGCCACCCACGCATGAGGGCACAGCACTCAGCTGTCTCCCCATCCCGAGCCTGGCTGGTCCGGACCCCACACAAATTCGGGGTTCCTGCTTTGATGTGTATGAACCGATGGCATTAGAAATACAGGAGAGCCCAGCTGGTGTGGCTCAGTGGTTGAGCATAGACCTTTGAACCAGGAGGTCGATTCCTGGTCAGGGCACATGCCCGGGTTGTGGGCTTGATCCCCAGTGTGGGGTGTGAAGGAGGCAGTCAATTAATGATTCTCTCATTGGTATTTCTCTCTGCCTTCCTCTCTGAAATCAATCAATCAATCAATATATATATTTAAATGCAGGATGATTCAGGGGTTAGAGAAACTGTCATTTATATGAAAGTGGTTAACGGGCATCATTTTAAACTGGCTGCGCTAATAAAGAATAATACCCTCCGTGCTCTGTTTTCTGTGTTTTCCCCCCCAAATCTGCGTCCTCCATGTGCTCCAGCAAGATGTCGAGTGTGCGCTGGAACCGACTGGACCATCCGGCACTGCCCGGAAGGCGCTTCGTCCAAAGCAGGGGGATTACATTAGGATTCATCACGACTCTGTGTTTTGTTCAGTTTTGTTCAGTATCCATCGCTGCTCTAAATACCGCCTCGCTCAAACCTCCTCCCTCCTCCCAGGCTGTTCATCGACAGATTAACATCATCAAGTTTCAGATAAGCTCCCCAGGGAGCCTCCTTTTGCTGGGAGAGTGGAGTGGGGGGCAGGTGGGGTCGGGGGGACTCATGTATTCAGCTGGCCCTAGCTCAGCTCCTGTTTTCCTGGGAAAGGGGTGAGAGGGTCTTTGTAGGCACCGAGTCGCACTCTCTCCTGTTTTCAAGTTTTGCTCTTGCTGCCAATTGACCTCAAATAGTCTTCGCACTCATAATACCTGCAGGGCTGGCTCAACAGCTTCTCGACCTGTCACTCAGTACAGCTGACGTGAGTATCAGTCACTTTGACCCTAACGGGTGAATTTAAGGAAAGGGCAGGATGAATTTGGCTTCCCTCTGCAAAGTGTTCCCAAATAAAAATGAACATATCAAGAGAGTACCAAATAGTCATCTGCTCACAAGCCTCATTAAACGAGGACCCTTATTAACGCACAACTTGGATTCCATTATCTATATAATAAAAGCCTAATATGCAAATCAACCGAATTGCAGAATGACCCGTGGAATGACCAGCCACTATGACATGCACTGACTAGCAGGGGGCACTCAACACAGGAGCTGTCCCCAGCCCGCAGGCCCCAGGCCTGCCAAGGCGGGTGTCAGCGGGCCCCACCCCCAAGATCGCCCCACCAGTCACCCCACAGATCGGCCCTGATCGCTGGCCAGGCCTAGGAACCCAACTGTGCACAAATTTCGTGCATTAGGCCTCTAGTGTATTTTTTTTTTTTTTAAATATATTTTATTGATTTTTTACAGAGAGGAAGGGAGAGAGACAGAGAGTCAGAAACATCGATGAGAGAGAAACATCGATCAGCTGCCCCCTGCACATCTCCCACTGGGGACGTGCCCGCAACCCAGGTACATGCCCTTGACCGGAATCGAACCTGGGACCCTTCAGTCCGCAGGCCTACGCTCTATCCACTGAGCCAAACCGGTTTCGGCAGGCCTCTAGTGTATTAATAAAAACCTCTGATAACAAAAAAACACACAACACATATAGGGAGAAAAGAAAGGTGTCCAAAGGATGCCAAAGCATCAACTTATTTATTGGATCTCCTCCTGCCTCTTCTGCAGAAATATTTAAGTTCTCTGAAGATTCCTTTACAGCACCTTCTTAGGCCTCTTGATCCCCTTAGTTCCTAAGCAACAGTGTATTTCAGTTTGTCTCTGTTTCCCTTCACCCTGGGACTTTAGAGCTTCTCGTATTATTATATGTTGAAGTAGGACACCTACACCCTGTAGTCACACAGCTGTATAATTACGTCTCCTGTCCGCCAGGCCGGCGCAGGTGGCAGGACTCGTTGGGTTGGGGCCACTGTATTATTAAATATATTCACATGTGCAAAACCGTGATTAAAAAGCCCTAAGAGGTTTTCCAGAATCCAGACACTCCCTCTTCACCCACTTGTTGTAAAAGACACAAAATGCTTTGAAGAACTTGGGACTTACCCTCAAATAACCTCTCGGGCTTCCCACTGAGTCACTCCAGGCTCGAAGCACTAAAGGTGAGCCTTGGGGCTGTTCCGTCTCAGTGGTTGCCAAGGTGTCCTTTCCAAGTAGAATACTACTTGACCTAAGAGGGATTCGAGGTAAATCCAGGACTGCGACTCCAGGTTAAAGTGCTAAACTGCCAAGGTAACTGTTATTTTCCCTCGACGACTACGGTATTACCTCTGACTTGGAGGTATTACCTCTGACTTGGAGATTTCCATGCTGAAGAACAATGACCAATACTAAACAATGCCACATACTCACTCCCACCACCTAAACCTTCAGATAAGGAAGTAAGATAACTTCTAGTCACTAGTTGCCTGGTTACTATTTTGCATTGTTCCTTGTAAACAAAGGAAAATAACTTCTTTATTGCTATATTACTCTAAATAGTCACCAAAGATAACATCCAAGTATTGTTATATTTAGATAAATCGGGGGTGGGGATGGAAATGCAGTTCTTTCTTATTTCCCCCCTCAAAGAGCTCAAGGACAAGGTAGAAGAGGAACTAGATGCAGAACTGTTTATCTAATAGATGCCAGAAGGATTTAGATACTTAGGGTAGAGGTCTGTAAACCCTCACCTAAAGGTACAGTTTCTAAAATCACATGCTCGTCCTTAGATTCATATTCATATATGGTGGCATTTTGCTTAAATATTTTCTTTATAGCCTCTAACATGTACTTTTTTTTTGTAGTGGCAACTCAATTTTATTTTGGAATAAAATAAATTCTGAAAGAAAATCTGCAAATATGTTTTTCCTCACCTTCAGTTTGAAAATCTTGTTCATTTTTTTTTTTCTAAATTAACCTAAGCACTATACAATAAGTACATTCAAAAACAACGTTTTAATAATGACAAGTTATTTGTCAGTTTTACTCAGAATTTTTGCAAAGGTTCAGTATGATGCAGAAAGAGTAATAAAAAAATAAAGCGTAATTTTTAATTCTGGGGAGAAAACAGTATTTTGGTGCTATATATATATATTTTCCCCCCAAATCACCTATGTGTTAGGTTATATGGAACTGAATATTCACCTGCGTTAAGTTACAAGTGGATATTTAACCCTCCTCTGCTACTACTGAAGAATATTTGCTCACATTTATTTATATTGCCCTGACAAATGGCAGTCCTATCATTTAATAAGGCACTCAAGTTCAAAAGCTGGAACAAATACAAAAATGCATTTGAGCTTTGCTGGTTTAGTCACCTGATATCGTAGGTGTACACCTTCCTTTATGATAACAAATGCCAGGCCGTGGACTAATTTAACTTCAGTTATGCAATGCCTGCCACACTCACCGGCTGAAGAATATAAACATCCCTTCTCTAGCGGAGTTTGGGGAGGGCTCTCCTTCGGTGTTTAACAGAGCGAGTGTGTGCATGGGTAGCAGGAGGGACCCATCTGTACTACGCAAGATGGACACAGGGACAGAGCCTTTTTAAAAAAGGGAAGAGATCACATTTATTGAACAATTCCCCTACAGATTTAGATCTTAGGCCCAGTTTTACAGAAATTTTGGAACAACACTACAGTCTATCTTTGCATTCTCCTTTTACTTAACAGACCCCTTGTTAGTTAACTACGACCTCACTGGTCATCCAATCATGAGAGAGAATTGAAGGTAACTCACAGTGTCTCTCTCTCTCTCTCTCTCTCTCTCTCTCTCTCTCTCTCACACACACACACACACACGCACGGAACATGTCACATGTGCTTCCTAAGAAATGACACGAGAGCAAAGATAGCCCAACACTTAAAATAAATCTTAAGGCATTGTTTATGTACATTACTTAGCACATAAAAGTAATAGAAAAGTATAGATTTGACACGTTTCTTATATATTTGCCAGAATATCTAAAAAAATATAAAAGCATCACTCCAAATCAGAAATACTATAATTTAAAACTTTACTACCTACGTTTTCTCAATAGGTCACCAAAACAAACACCAACCTTCCCCCCACAAACTATAATGCACAGATCTGTAGGTGGAGAACATTAACGTTGAGTTCATTTTCATGATGAAGAACACTGCATTTCCGGAAACGCTGGTAGTACAATACCTGCGACAAGACACCAAAACCCAAGACCAACTTGTAACCAGTGATGGGCAAAAGGAGCCTCTCGCTGGACAAGTCGAAACATTTCTTTTCACAAATGTTTTGAGGGACATTTCTTTTTACAAATGCTTAAACTTACACACAGGTCGAACACGTAACTTTAACAAAGCTTATGTGAGAAGTGCAAGTCTTCTGGCTTCCTGACACACGGCATCCTGATGGTCCGCCAGCTTCCGGAGCGAGAAGTGTTTCTCTAGGAAGAACAGAGCCATGTCGCGGCGCCTCCTGCACGTCCACTATGTGTCGGAGTCGCTTCCCCCGCCCGGGCTGCTGCCATCCGGCCCGTCACTCTCTTTGTCCCAGTCCTTCATGGACGCTCCCATCATAAAGTCGTCTCGGAGGATGCTCCATCCTGGGCCCTCTTCTCTCGCTTCAGTCTGAGGACAATCACAGAAACACAATTAAATTCAAGAACCAATTTAATTGCAGGGAGACCGAGAGAGTCCATGTCACAAAGCACACTTCTCAGCAACAGGAGTGAAATCAAGACAAAGCATAGAGTGGCCTTATTCTTACACTGTAATCATATATGTACAAACAGCTAATAGAGCTATCTGCTAGCGAAAGAATCATGGAAGCAAACTTTTTTTTTTTTTTTTTTGCAATAGGGAGAAAATATAGTAAGATCTAGGTTTGGTATCAAAAATTTTTTAAATTTATCTTTATTGTTCTAAGTATTGCAGATGTGCCCCCTCCCCGACCCCCTTCCTCTGCACCCACCCCTCCCAGGCCTTCACCATATTGCTGTGTCCATGGACTATGCATTTAAGTTCCCCAGTTAATCTCTCCCACTCACCTTGCTACCCCACCTTCCCTCTCAGATTCCTCAGTCTGTTCCATGCTTTTATGTCTCTGCATCTAGTTTGTTCATTAGATCCCATACATGAGTGAGATCACGTGACATTTGTCTTTCTCTGACTGGCTTGTTTCACTCAGCATAATACTCTCCAGGTCCCTCCACGCTGTCTCAAAGGGTAAGAGATCCTTCTTTTTTGCTGCCACATTGTATTCCTTGGTATAAATGTACCACAAATATTTTATCCATTCATCTACTGATGGGCACTTGGGCTGTTTCCAGATCTTAGCTATTGTAAATTGCGCTGCTATGAACATAGGGGTGCATACATTCTTTCTGATTGGTGTTTCTAGTTTCTTGGAATATATTCCTAGAAGTGGGATCACTGGGTCATATGGCAGTTCCAATATTTAATTTTTTGAGGAAACGCCATACTGTCTTCCATAGTGGCTGCACCAGTCTGCATTCCCATCAGCAGTGTACTAGGGTTCCCTTTTCTCCACATCCTTGTCAGCACTTGTCATGTGTTGATTTGTTGATGGGAGCCATTCTGACAGGTGTAGGTGAAACCTCATTGTCATTTTAATTTGCATCTCGCTGATGATTAGTGACTTAGAGCATTTTTTCATCAGTCTCTTGGCCTTCTGTATGTCCCCCTTTGGAGAAGTACCTATTTAGGTCCAGAAAAGGCATCTCAAAACTGTCATTACTCACAGGTAACATGATATTGAACACAGAAAACCCTAAAGACTCTATCAAAAAACTATTAGAATCAAAATCATCAAAGTGTCTATACTACCCAAAGCAATCTACAGACTCAATGCAATCCCCATTAAAATAACAATGGCATATTTCACAGATCTAGAACAAACACTCCAAAATTTATATACAAAAAAAAAGATCTCAGATAGCAGCAACAATCTTGAAAAAGAACAAAGTTAGAGGATCACAATCCCAGATATGATATCAATTTTTAAAATCTTTTGACAAAACAATCTTATAATATTATTTCAAGTTCACTGATAATTTATTAGAAGACTTCTGGCAAATTATTTAAAGACAAATAGAAATTTAACGAAGGCCTTTTACCCAAAGTAAAGGAGAGAAAAGGAAACCAACTGGGCTAGGTTTTCATGGATTCTATCTCATTTAACGGCTGGTAGAATGAGAAACAAATGGTCTTTATTTGGGTTATGGTCTCACTGTCTGACCTAATCATGTAATAAGAAAGCCTAGTCACATGCTAAAATTACAAATGAGTGAGTGAGCAGGCAATAAGCAGAGGTAGACAGTTTGTTGTTTCTTCACAGGATTTATGTAAAACTACACACAGCTGAGCCTAAGACAGCCTCTCATTTCAGGTACAACAGCACCACCGTGTGGTGGTAACTGATACAATCCGTGCAGAACTACAAGCTCTGGGATTTCTTTCCCTCTCTCCGTAAGTATTTACTGAGAACCTGTATGTGTCTAGGGCTAGGCTCTGTTCAAAACAGAGTCCCCGTCTCCGTGAAGCTAAGAGTCACTGCTTTCCTATTTATTCCATCCACAGAAATACACAGCGCTGGACAAACCTCTCTAAATATGAAAGATCCCATACCTTTGGTTAGAACATACTATCTTCATGGGGGTCATAAACCATATAAAAAGGAATTTTTAAGAGAAACGATATTAAAGACATTTGCTGGGTTGCCAGGGTTTACTTATTCTGCTGCACTTCCCTTTTAAGAACACAGCCCGGAAAGTCATTCCATGTAGTCACAGGATGCGTCACAAAGAGGAAAGTGTCCCCCCGCCCCTCCTCCATCTCCCTGGGACCAAGGGATGAAACGGGGCTGACAGCACAGCATGCGAATGTCCGCCCAACTGCAGAACTGACTAGAGAGCCGGACAGTGCACTCGGTGCTAAAATAAACAACGTGAAGACACACAAACACCACATGTGCTGGTCCAAGAGCGACAGGAAGACCGCCCAGGGCCACCCCCGCAGGACAGCGATAAAGGAGGAAGGGCAGTTTTAACCCCTTGCCTGGCACACGCTGACACCGCCCGCCCCTCACTCCTACACACCCAACCCACTGCTCTGATTACAGTCAGCTACCCAACTGGACAGACGGCCATTTTCCCCGATGCAACCCGTGTTCTCTGCCGGTCTCCTCACCTCACATAAGAGAAAGAGCTGTTCCCAGTGAACACAGGTGCCCTTAGGAGCAGCAACTCTGACACCTCTCCTGCCAAATGCATCACTCACACTTTCAGTGAAATCCTAAAAAGCACACGTTTCCTTATCCAAATGTCTGACTGACGAGGAAAGGCTTGTCCTGGCACCGATGTCTGTGTTTACATGGGAATGCGCACCATCTCAATGGCAGCCTCCGTCTAGCTAACTACACCCAACATGCCATCCACATGTCACCAGCTGGAGCGGCGGACGCCCCATCACCGCCCGAGTGCAGAGTCCCACAGGAGAGCTCCCTGCCCGTTAGCGTCACAACAGAAAGGAGGGAGGGACGAGCAGGGACAAAACACTAAACGAGTCCCTATCCTTACCCTTGGGGATACGTTCCAAGACCCCCAGTGATGCCTGAAGCGGAAGCTCGCACTGAATTCTGTATGTACCGTTTCTATACCTATCCATGGCCAAGTGTAATTCATAAATCTGCCATAGTAAGAGACTAATGGTAACAATAATAAAACAGACCGTAACAGTGCACCGGAACAGAAGCTACGTGAATGTGCGCTCTCTCAACATCTCATTGTCCTGTACGCACCGCTCTTCTTCTAGATGGGAGACGACACAGGGCCTCCGTGATGAGATACAGGGGCGTGGACTTTTCCAGTGAATACCTTCCGGCTTCAGTTACCCTGGTAACTAAATCCATGGGAAGTGAAGCCATGGGTAAGGGGGTGGGGCACCACAGCAGTGGAGAGAGAGAAAGGAAGGTCAGTGGGCCAATGGGAAGAAGAGTTCGTTAATGGAAATGTCACGATCAATTGTCTCACCATCCTGGTCTGGAAAGACAATTACGGGTGTAAACGTGTACTTTAGGCAGGAAGATCCACAGCAGGATAAATTCAAAGCCCCCTGGCTTGTCCAGCCTGAAGGGGGACAGTGAAGCCAGGCTCTCTGGGAGCAGTGGGGTGTTTCTGCTCTGAGCAGTCAGGGGCAACGTGCTCTCCAGGTGTGGGCCCAGGCCAGACAAGGGCATCTCCATCACTTAGTAGAAATCCATTCTCCCGGGCTCCGTTCCTGCTGACCCAGAAACTCGGGCAGAGCCCAGCCATGGGCCTTATAAGCCCTCGAGGTCCTGATGGAGCGAAAGCCTGGGCCCACCAGGGTAAACATAACCTAAGACACAGCTAACCGTGCCGTAGGGGGCAGCCTACAGGGTCGCGCGCTCCGTGCCCACGGCAGCTGAACAGTGATACTGATTAGATGCAAAAACCTAATGAAAACCACATGAGGCAGGGAAACAAAATATTCGCCGCCCTCCTCGGCCTGGCTTTCCACAAATATTTCATTGAGATCACACAGCAGTCTGTGCCGATCTAGAAGACGAAGACAACGCTGAGAAATGTCCATCAGCTTCCACTTCAAGGTTCCAACACCCACGGGCAGCTACTGCCCAGAAGACGGAAGTGAGGCTTGGGATTCCTCATTGGTCTCACACCGAATAGTGACGAGCTTAACTGCACCCAGCTTTGAAGGGGAAAATTAGAGTCAAACCCTAAAAAAATAAACAACATAATCCATCTGCATTTCGCAATCAGCAATACTTGATTTCTTGGCTTTTACCCAGAATGTTCAATTTTCACTTTAATTTAGTTTCACCTAAATTAAAAAAGGTTCTGAACGCTGGCTAAATGCATCTTAATACCTTTGTTGTTGCAAACTTACAGTGTAAGCTCTCTGCAACTGTTGTTAGTAATCTCCCTGCCAACCATTAAAACCCACCTGAAAATTCTGCCTGAAGTGAGGGTACGAGGAGAATCCTTTATCTAAACTATTTGCAAAGATGGGAACATAAACAGCATGGTGGAGAAACCACTGAGAAACCCCTTTCCTGGGTGAGTAAAACCCTGCAAGTCACAGTCAGCTCAGCCGTAGCTTGAAATGGGGACAGAGCTCTAGGTCTAGGCCCCCCAAATCTAGTTTTACTATTTTGTAAGGATTATACATTACTAGACCAGACACACCTAAAACGAGAGAACATTCCAAATCTAAACACAAGCTTTATTGAACTATTAGAGAATTCTGGGGTCACCCAGTAATTCAGAAGTAGTCAGTTCCCTTTCAAATTGGATTCCCACCACAGCTTCATCTTTGACTACCATCTGGTGGGAACAATAAGAACGACACGTAAAGAACTCATTCTCAGGACACGTGTTTGCTGTGAGCTCAGCATGGCTCCAGCACCACCTGGGTTAAGTCCCGGGACCCTCACAGTTCAGGAGGTGGCTGTCACCACTGGAATGATGACCTGAGAACAGGTTAGAGGCTGACGCACAATGTGGGTGAGGGACCCAGAGGGCGGGCCAGTGGCCTGTGCCACTGTGTACAAAGCATCGTGCAACCCCATCAACATTCTCAACCGCCCACAACTCAAATTACTATTTTTTGAGCAAGAAACAGTAAAATACTCTTTTCAATTTTAAAAATGCACCACAGCCTGACCAGTGCGGCTCAGTAGCTGAGCAACAACCTATGAACCAGGAGGTCACGGTTTGATTCCCAGTCAGGATACGTGTCCAATTGCGGGCTCAATCCCATCGGGGGTGTGCAGGAGGCAGCCGATCAATGATTCTCCTCATTGATGTTTCTATCCTTCTCTCCCTCTCTGAAATCAATAAATATATATTTAAAAAAATGCATCCTAAGTGCAAACACGTGGTACACGACCCACTTTATGCAGGACAGTCAGGTTTTTAAAGGGCCTCAACCTCACTGGTGAGCATCCTCTGCGGGCAGCGGGCAGCTACTTCACAGAGAACAGTTCCTCAGAGAGGCCCAGCAGGTGCACGGCCCACCGTGAACTTTATTCTAAGGTAACTAAGGATTCCCACCGCCGCTCTGGAAGGGTCCTACGTCCTCCCCTGACCCACACTCCCCGAGTCAAATGCTGCAGGTGCCACCCTGCCCCACCGGCTCACGCTGCTCGCACCAGACACCGCCCCAGAGCAGCTGACCGGCCCCATTCGGAGGCGAGCACAATGGGAAACTGGCTTTCGCGCGTTCCCAGAGACAGCCATGCAATGCTAGCTCTCAGGCAAACTCGGAGTCTCCCTTTTGTCTAAACTCTAATCTATTTAGGCATTTGCCGTAAACAAACATTGAGCTGGATGATTTACAAAGCGGGGATTCCACGCATTCCTGCGAGAGCAGCTTTGATGTGAAAGCAGCCAGTTGCCATGCGAGGCAGGGGCAACCTGAGGACAGCACCGCTCTGCCCCTGCCTGCCGTCCACACCCCCCTCCATGGGAGAAGCAAGGCCCAGAGCTGCTGGGACCACCTGGGGGCCAGCGTGAGGCGCCCCCCCATTCCTAGCGTCCTGCTTGGGAGCAGGACTTCAGCCAGGCCATGAGCAGAGGACTGGACTCTTTAAAAGGAGATGGCAATTGGAGTCTAGCTCGCGTCACTAGGATCCCAAGAAGCCCGTATGCCACAGGCATTCCCACCCCTGAAAACCAGCTCTGAAGGATCACCTGGTTGCCATTTATGAGAAATGTATGCGGACAGAGCCCCTGAACTCACTTCTGTTTGACATTCTTCACAAAAACAGAAAAATAAATAAATACCTAGTCTCTCCCAGTAACTGATTTAACCGAGGGATTTTGACTGAAATGTGTTGCCCCACAATCCATCACTAAGAAAGCCCTTCCTAACAGAAACTGCCAGCACTTTCCTGTTCTGCGAAGTCCCGAGTGTGGTTTCCTGACAACAAAACAGAAGCTGACAGTGTCATGCGGGCCAGTTCAAAGCAATGAAGACCTCGCACACAGCCTGTAATTCAAGACATGACACAGTCAACGCTTTCCTATCAGCAGCCAATAGGGGCTCCTTCGAGGAATCCTACGGGCTGAACGCTGGGGCCCCAGGCTGTCCCTACAATCTGCTTCAAGAAGGTTGGCAGCGAGTTCCTCCGCCACGTGCAGGCAGCATATTGTAGGTTCTTCCCTGGAAAACTTTCAGGGCCCCAGAAGGAACAGGACAGGCCCTGCCAGTGGGCACCCCCCATGAAAGAACCAACGCCCCTCAATCCTGAGCTCAGCACCCAGAAGCCTCCGGGCTCACAGTGGATGGTCAACCAACTCTATCCACGTCACTCTTCAGTCTGAGTGGAGGGAGAGGGTCACCATGCAGACACAGGGCGTTTCTTTTCCCATTTCCCACCCGCTCCTCGTGCAAAGCGGCGGGGTCCCCCCCCAGTTCTCGGTGAAAGGTCACCAGTGAGAACACGCCTGCCTTCTTACCTGAAACGTGTAAATCCCCAAACACAGCTTTCACATGTGTGCACTTCCTTCTGACCAACACTAATTACATAGATCCACCATCTGGGCCCTTAAACTTGTCAAAATTAGGCAAAATGGCAACTAAATCAAGGAATTTGGAAAAACACCTCAACACTAGACTAGCATGCAATTCCTACATGCTCTTCCTGCCAGGGTTCTTTCCCCCAAAACACACACACACACACACACACACACACACACACACACACTGACGAAACTCTCACTTCCTGACTGAAGTTCTCGGTTGGCAACAGAAAGAAGCCAGCATGTATAACTATGTACTTTGCTTTACTTATTTCTTTTTAAAACAGTCCTCCTGAGATGAAAGCCCATTTCAGAACTTTCACCTGGTACATCATTACAAATGGAAACTATGGGGGCCCCGGTCAGAAAACCAGACCAGCTCAGCCGCGTCATGGTTCTGCTGCCAACATAATGGAAGCTGCATGTCCGTCTTCAGACAGGACAGGTACCTGAATCTAGTGGCCCCTGAGTTCTAAGAGCAGGGGAATGGCATCCATAACTGGCAATTCCCACACTGAATAAACCACCCTGAAACTTAAGAATCCACGTTTACTAGGCTGTGGGCATGTAATTGTAATAAAATCTGAAAAGCACTGTAATTCTACCGTGTGCCTTTTCACCCCCAGACGCGAGTGTGAAAGCTAAGAGGCTGATGCACTGAACTTGGTATAAAAGTCTCACCTGCTTGGCCTGTGAGCTCTTTCCGGTCGAACCTTTGTCGCTGGCACTTCCGTCCATGCCCCTCAGAACGCTGATGAAATCTTTCTTGGAAACGGTTGATATCAACTTCGCACGCTTCCTGATCGAGCTCCCGGCCTCCTTGACCTTCTCATCAACGTTCTTCTGATGTTTCTGGACGGCATTGAATAACTGCACCACACCCCTGGGGACCACACGGTGGCAGAACAATGTAGTTAACAGCGATGACACTAGACCAGCGGTCCCCAACCTCTCGGGCCTCACGGACCACCAGTGGTCCTCGCGCCACCGGTTGGCGACCACTGCTCCAGACTACAAACTCCGAGGATAGAAACAGTGTATTTGCACTGCTTAGGAGAGAGGCAAGCATTGAGCAGGCAAGCCGATGAAAACAGCTGACTGGTTAGATACTTCAGGAAAGTGATCACGCATTTCAATGAATGAATGGAAGTTTATGAACGCATTAATAGATGAACATATGTGGATTGATATGTGATCTGTTTTGTTTCAGTTCGGGTCTTTCTCTATCAACTTTTATGCAATCAGAACTAAGAATTACTTTTAACACCAGCACCCATTTCTCCAAGTGGGACTATATGCAGTTGGGGCTCTGCAGCGAGTAGGAGCACCTGATGCTAGGGAAGACTTTCTGGGTCTTCATTTCATTGGGAAAGGGTTAAAGTGACACCCAAGTAGCTCAAAAAGTAGTCAGCTACACTATTTGTAACTCTTAGGATATAAAACTAATCTTAAAACCCAATTTTTAAAAATATTTGAAGACTCAGTATGAAAAAGAATTTTAGAATCTCAATAATTGTTTTATATCGATAACATTGCAATAGTAATCATTAGAATGTACTGGGTAAAATCAACATGTTATTGAACTTAACTTCACCTCTTTTACTTATTCGGACAAATCTACATGACGTATGTGGCTCACGTTCTATTTCCACTGGGGCAGCACTGATTTAGACCATTCACATCCCTCCCAACTCTAAAATCCTGTAACCTGTTCATTTCCTGCTACGAGAATCACAGGGAGAGGCGATGCGCCACGGGCCTTACCACCCTGCGCCCTCTTGTTGGGTTTTTCACCAATTCGGGCCCTGACTGCTCTTTAGCCAGAACATTTCTCAGGGTTGTGTTTGCAGCACGCAACCTTGAGAAATGAGGTAACGTCTCCCCCAGACAAAGAGCAGGCTTGTTCCCATTCACCGTAAAAGCAAGAGCATTCCCCGCACAGCGTTCCCCTCCTGTAACATGAACCACTGCACGAGCAGGCGGCCACCGAGGGCACCTGCCCGGCCGTGGGGACAGGGGGAGCCAGTGGGAATGAGACGCTCGGCGACCACCTTTGCCGTGAGTAATGGAGTCCCGTGTCTCTGACCCAGAAGTCTCTTGTCTCCTGTCAGCATCCAGGAAACTCTAACAGGCGAGTTTAGGCTGCAAACAGGGCAAAATCCCATCCCCTCCCAGCAGGGCGGGACCAAGGTGAACAACGTGAGGTGCCCAGGACATAAAACTAAAGAGGCACTTACTCCCTGCACCAAACCTGCACTTTTCTAAGCTCTTCATTCAGTTCTCAGAGAAACCCTATGGGGAGGTATGATATTCTCCTGGTTTCACAGATAAATAAATGCGGAGACACAGAGGCATTAAGTAACAGGCCCAAGGGCACAGCTCGTCCGTCAGGCTGGAATCTGAACCTAGCAGACTGGCTCTCCCGCTCACACACTTAGCCATCACAAGATGCCTTAGAACAGCGGTTCTCAACCTGTGTGTCGCGACCCCTTTGGTGGGTCGAAGGACCCTTTCACAGGGATCGCCTAGGGCCATCAGAAAACACATATATAATTATATGTTGTTTTTGTGATTAATCACTATGCTCTAATTATGTTCAACTTGTAACAATGAAATTGGGGGTCACCACAACATGAGGACCTGTATTAAAGGGTCACGGCATTAGGAAGGTTGAGAACCACTGCATTAGAAAATGACCCAATAACGCAGGTGACTAGGCAGTTAACGTCAGTCCACTACACATAACTGCGATGTTCTTTAGGGAGGAACGAAAAGCTACCTCCGTGAACTTGCCCGACTCCCCTGTACCCTCTCCTGGGACCTTCCCCATCACCAGATGCACCTCGATTCTCAGGCGACGAGAACTCCTCCGGATGGGTCGGGCAAGGACCCCTCAGCGGCCACCAGATTCTACTTATCTGGACACACAGGGCATCAAATAAATGTGTGGTGCCAATGATAAAAAAGTGCAGACTGAAAGGGTAGCATGAAGCTGCTATAACGTGAAACCCACGCCATAAATATAACGCAAGATAACAAAAATCGCCAAGTGCCATAAATTTAGACACCAGCACGAGAGCCATGCAGTGAGTATTCTGATGACACTGTTCTCGCGACTACAAACAACATGATGTGAAATAGGGTCGTGCCGATCACACACTTAGCACATTGTACTCCTTCCCAAGAGGCCCACAGCCTCTGGCTGAACTCGGGAGCAGCAGGCTGGCTTACACACAGCCACTGGCTCTGAGAATCGAGTGTGTGTGTGTGTGTGTGTGGGTGTGTGTGTGGGGGGGGAGTGCAGTGTACTGAGGGCTTAAGGGCCACACCTCTGCCTTACCTCGTGGCGATCCTCTGCAGATTCCTCTCGGTGTCTTTGTCGGTGACCACATCTGGCTTGACCCTGCACATCATTTCCCACTCCCGCTTCTTATCGAGCTGTGTGACAGACAAGGTTAGGAAAGAACCTCAGGCATTTCGGAAGGGGCAGCACTCGACACGATCCTCCGAGAGGACAAAGGTCACCAACCATCCGGCTCGGTGTGTCTCGGGGACTTCGAAACACCCGCGCTTTAGGGGTTCCACACGGGAAGCCTGTGGTTAGCACTCAGCCTGGCATGTAAGAGGCACCGGGTGGGTTTCCGCCGGGCTGGCAGCGGGGCCCGGGACCAGGCAGGTGTGGGAGCTGTGGTTCTGATCCGCCCTCACCGATCAGAGGGGGCACCAGGAAGACCCCAAGCCCCCCTCCTGTAACCACAGTTTACACACTGTCGCTTTTTAGAAACGGGCCTCGCCAGCAGGCAGAAGGATGAAGACTCTGTATCAGCTTTTCAATGGACAGCGTCATATCCAGATGTAGCCTATTTACACAGCAGCTGCTTTCCTTTTCTGGAAGCATTGAAATCCACCTTTTACGGCACATCTGACCATCGTCCTGGCCACATGTGGCAACTTGGTCGCAAATTACAGCACACAGATTCTTTCCCACCATGCAGAAGCAGAAGGGGGCCCAGAAATAAGAAAACCCCACAGATAAAATAACCTAATTCAAAACCGCCTCTCCAGACCCCCTTTAATGCGTTACTCTAACGCCTATCATCAGAGATTTGCCCAAAGGTAGACTGAATTCAAGGCAATCTAGCAGCGAAATAGTCGGTTTTCAGAACTGCAACCAATCCCTAAGGACTTCGTCACAGATCTTTATTATAAAATAGGTTTTGGCAAAAAAGCAACTAATAGGATGATCAGCCCAGCACCTAATAAAGTTAGCACATGGCCAGCCTAATGGAATAAAAAGACAGGGGTCAGAGCCACATGGGTAGTTCCTTGATTTTAAAAGGATAAACTTCCTTGGAGTTTATATCTCTGTTGCTTTCCAGGTGATTATGAACAGAACCCTGGTTATCCAACCCCACAGACAACAAGCCCAACGCTGGAATGTTCATTGAGCAAACACTGCAGGGACAAGGCGGCCAGATAAGGCCTGAGAACCAGGCAGACACACAATCTAATCTCCAGAGCAGCCGGACGACATACCTGCTTCCTCTTCTCTAGTCTCTCCTGCTTTAACTTCTCCTTTTCCTTTTCCAGCTCTCTGTTTTTGACCAGGATGGTGGGTTTGCTCTTAGGGGTTTTCTTGTTCAGGATTTTAGCCATGGCGTCGGCCCAGCCCGAGCTGGTCCCCGCGGCGGCTCCAGCAGCATTTTCGCTGTCGTCGTCACAGGGTTCCAGCTCATCTTCATTGTCAGCCTCCGCTGCTTCGTCATCAGAAGAAAAGTGTCGCTTTTGTGACGCACGCCTTCCTGTGGAACCTAAGAGAAGGAACAGGTTAGACTCTGATGCTGGAGGCAGAGGTGGCCCTGTAACCGTTCTCCATCCGCCCCCATTCTCTGGGACAGTGACAAGTACCACAGCTGCGGGGACAGTGGAGAGCAGGGACAGTGGGACCCTCCACCCTGGCCGCCAGCCTCTGAAGGTCTGGCTCAGCCGTGTTGACAGGGGAGGCTGTAGGGTCACAGGAGCCAGGACCCAGGCAGCAAAAACCCCCCCAAAAAACAATAAAAAAAATCCAATCCCAGAAGTGGAACTGCTGGGTCATAAGGCAGCTCCATTTTTAAGTTTTTGAGGTAATTCCATACTGCTTTCCACAGTGGCCGCACCAATCTGCATGTGGAATCTAATGAACAAAATAAACTATCAAACAGAACAGAAACGGACTCATAGATAGAAAATAGACTGACAGCTGTCAGACGGGAGGAAGGCTGTGGGCCTGAGTGAAAAAGATGAAGGGATTAAGACCTAAGAACTAGGCAGACACACACAAAAACTCACGGACACAGAAAACAGCAGGGGGAATAAATGGTGATGGAAGACCTGGGGTGGTGAGCACACAACACAATATACAGATGATGTATTATAGAATTGTACACCTGAAACCTGTATAATTTTATTAACCAATGTCACCCCAATAAATTCAATTAAAATTTGTTTAAAAGAGAGAAATGATGGAAAGAGCTGACCTTTTAGCTGGTCGTTATAATACTCCCAATGTTGGCATTACCTTTGCACAATACCTTTATTTTTGAAGTGCTGACAACTCATGAAAAGGATGTAAAAAGTAAATATTTAATATAGTTCAAAAAATTTGTAACGTATTAGAAAACAGCCAATAAAAACACAGTAAGCATTTATCTAAATGTAAAGAACAGGATGGCTTAAAGGTTTATCAGTGAAGAATACGGGGTGATGAAAAGCAGAAGTCTTGACCAACTACAACACTGACATCTAGTGTTTTGTCCTGATGAATTCTCACACGAATCGCAGCACATTTCACGTTTTTTCAGCTGCACTGTAAAGGCGGCCAAAGGCTTCGCGATTGTGTAAGCCACTCCGACTCTCCACTTCTAAACGGACTATTTTCTTTGGTGTGTTTCCTCCCCAGCTTGGCTACCATAACACTCACATATGGGAACATGATACATCTGTGAAAAGTTTTCTAACGCCAGGTTATAAACCAGCACTCACCCCACCAATTAAAAAAAACAAACCAAAACCCAGAAGAAGTCACTAATGTCATAGTTTTTATTTTATTTATTTTTTTAAAAAGAAGCTTTAGCCCAGAAGATTTAAGCCAGGCATTCACTGCCGATGGAAATGATTTTTATGTAATTAAATGAAAAACGCCAATACAATGAGTTCTTCCAGCCACTAGAATGCAGGGCAGGGCCTACTGCTAGGATACCAAAGAGAATCACCATGCGGATCAGAAAGCAGAACTGGTTCTTAAAAGTATACTGCATCACATACAGGTGAGATTTTTTTTGTTTTCAACTAAGTAATCTTTATTTTATTTTTTTAAAAATTCTTTATTGTTTAAAGTATTACATATGCCTCCTTTTCTCCGCATTGAACTCTCCCCGGTCACTCCCACCCCCTAAAATAAGTGATCTTTAATAGCAGGAGGTAAGTGGATATAACCACAGGTCTCAGGGAACCAGATACGAAAAAAAAAAAAAAAAAAAATTCCTCTGAAGTCCTGTGCGTTATTTTAAACATTAACTCTAACCTGAAATTCTATTTTAAAACTGGAAATAAGGAAGGACTAGAGAACGCCAACATTGGAAGTATTATAACGCTACTGAGAATCACCAGGAGAGGCGATCCACCACAGGCCTGACCATCCTGCACACTTTTGTGGGTTTTTTTGAGAATTCGGGGCCCTCGGGGAGCAATAACCAAGGGTTCCAAGTAGACCTTTCTGCATTCCCGGGAAGCCTCCTGCACGCTTCAAACCTGGAGTTTTACGTTTTACTTCATTTTAATTCATGGCTAACATCTAGGGCAGGGCAGCAGACACTGGCATTTCTCATCTCCTCTCCCTTTCAAACTCGCCATCTGTCCCTGATCCCCAGATACATGGCCACAGGCCGGCAGGAGAGCGAGCCACTGACCTTATTCGCCTCTGGAACGGGGACCCAGTTTTTTCTTTTTGTTTTTTTTTTTAAAAAAAATTTATTTTATTGATTTATTTACAGAGAGGAAGGGAGAGAGATAGAGATTTAGAAACACCGATGAGAGAGAATCATCGATCAGCTGCCTCCTGCACATCCCCTACTGGGGATATGCCCGCAACCCAGGTACATGCCCTTGACCGGAATCGAACCCGGGACCCTTCAGTCCGCAGGCCGACGCTCTATCCACTGAGCCAAACCGGTTTCGGCGGGACCCAGTTTTAAGAAGCCTCCCAGCCCCTGGATATGATGCGCTGAGTCCTCAGGGAGGATGAGGGAGGAAAGGGGAAAAGAAAAAATCCTCCAAGTTTCTCTCCCTAAAGCAGTGGTTCTCAACCTTCCGGCCCTTTAAATACAGTTCCTCACGTTGTGACCCAACCATAAAATTACTTTCGTTGCTCCTTCATCACTGTCATGTTGCTACTGTGATGAATCGTCATGTAAATATCTGATATGCAGGATGGTCTTAGGCGACCCCTGTGAAAGGGTCTTTCGACCGCCAAAGGGGTCGCGACCCACAGGTTGAGAACCGCTGCGGCCTAAAGGCATCACACGCCTTGGAGGGTAAGATAGATCAGTTCAACCAACTGCAAAAGTGTGTGCAATGTTCTTCTCAAAGAAAGACAATGAAAAAAAGAGCGACCGTTTGGGGGTATCGTCCACAAAGCTGATACGCAAGTTTTTGTTTGCTTTTTTAAGGGTAGAGCAAGGGTTTGAACAAGAGACAAGAGAAGGGAGGAGGCCAAAGAAGTCAGATGCCGTAACCCCGGCCAATGCAGAGGCCGGATCAGCGCGTGCAGAACCAAACTCATCCCGATTGGGGCCAATGCTCTGTACGAAGATGGAAATTGCTATCGTAAAGGTCATGACTGTCATCCCAGCCATGTATTATAGGGCGCCCCGCGGGGGTGAAGTCCGGGCGGCTCGGAGCCAAGGCGCCGCATCCCCGGCTGCCCGCAAACTCCGCCCGGCCTTTGCTGCGATCGGCCACCGCCCCGCCGCGGCACGTTACCTCCCACGTCGGCAGCGTCTTGGCCCTCATCTTCCAGCTCCGATGCTGCAGCCTTGGCTACCGTTTTCATCTTCTTTTTCCTCTTGACGGCGTGTTTCAGCTTCTTCCCCGCACTCCCACGTGAGTCGCGCACGGCCGCGGCCATGTTTTCCCAACCGGAAGTGCCCCAGCAGAGCTGCGCCGGATGGGGAACGCGAGGAACCCGGGCCTCGAGTTCCGGCAACACAAGGTTCCGGGGCGGGGCCAACTAGCCCGGAAGTCGCGGCGGCAGCCTCAGGCTTGCATTGCAGAGAAAGGTCTGGCTCCCAATTGCAAAACGAATAATAGAATCTCGCGTTCCCCCCTCGGGTCCCGCGTGGTCAGGGATTCATCTCACTTTTCTGCCCCAGTGCGCGGGTCCCTCCTCCGCGGGGTGCTCCTCCTGCCTCCCTCCCGGGCCAGCTTAGCCCTAGCAGCGGTTCTCAACCTGTGGGTCGCGACCCCTTTGGCGGTCGAACGACCCTTTCACAGGGGTCGCCTAAGACCATCCTGCATATCAGATATTTACATGACGATTCATAACAGTAGCAACATTGCAGTTATGAAGTAGCAATGAAAATAATTTTATGGTTGGGTCACAACATGAGGAACTGTATTTAAAGGGCCAGAAGGTTGAGAAACACTTCGGGCCTAAGGTGAGCTAGTCACCTGCTGTTGCAGCCTCATGCACCCTCCAAGCAGCTGCCACAACCGAGCCCTAATTTCCTCCCTAAATTGTTGGCTCCTTGAAAGTAGGGACCATATCTCATTCTCCAGTTTATCCCCCATGGCCAGCAACGGGGTCTGGCCCACCTTGGGAGCCCTCAAACTATTTTTGGAAGGAAGAAAGGTAAGAATGAGTGAGTGAATGACAGAATACATCTATTGGTAAGGTTAATGAGCCAGACGGATAAGATTAATAAACCCTTGCATCGTGTTTTATTTATTTTAAAATATATCTTATTGATTTTTTACAGAGAGGAAGGGAGAGGGATAGAGAGTTAGAAACATCGATGAGAGAGAAACATGGATCAGCTGCCTCCTGCACGCCCCCTACTGGGGATGTGCCCGCAACCATGTGCAAGGTACATGGCCTTGACCGGAATCGAACCTGGGACCCTTGAGTCCGCAGGCCGACGCTCTATCCACTGAGCCGAACTGGTCAGGGTCTTGCATGTTCTAAAGCAGTGGTTCTCAATCTTGGCTGCACATTAGAATCACCTGGGAATCTTTTTAAAATCCTGATTTCTGGGCCTCTTCCTCCGGAAATTGTTTCTTTGTTTCTAATGTTGTGGCCTCACCCCATAACCAAGAAACAGAATTTTTTGTTGTTTCTGGAAGCCCATGCTGCCCGGTGTACACCTTTACCCGCCCTTGTGTGTTGGCCTTGAACCTGTGTCCTGCTGACTTTCCTATTTAGCCCTTTTTTTTTTGTCTGGTGATATGGAGTTCAAAACCACGTTGGGAAAGCATTGGAGAACACCATAGAGAAGAAGCAAAGTGAGAGAGAAAAATGACTACAGAGAAGAGGAGAGGGCCATGCATAGGAAACACCATTTATTAATATCATTTGGTCATCACCAGTCATGTTTAGAGCATTTGCTATCATAGTAGGATGGTTTATGTGGGGGGATTTACTATGATTAGTTACAATTTAAGAAATTGCTTGGTGGGAGAGGCGGGTGAGGTTGGTTGGTTTGTGACATATTCAAGTTTTTCTTTAAAAAAATAACAATAGGCTCCAGGTTTCCCTGCAGAAATCTGATTTTTCAGAAAGGGATTACTGCTAGCAAGTGAGATATTTCCATGTTAATTTATCTAATTGGCACAGTAAGTTGGGTACTAGTGTTCCCATTATACAGATGAGGAAACCGAGGCACAGGCAAGGTGAAATCATTGCTCAAGGTCATTCAGCCAGTAAGTGGCGGAATCATATTCAAACGTAAGCAAAACCGGCTCCAGAGTCTGTCGGTTCAGCCACTGGACAGGCTTGGGTTGTGCTGGCCTGTTTGCACTTTCACACTTAGCAAGGATGTCCTGAGAACAGACAATGGAAATTTCTGGCAAGCCCTGGGATTCATAAATTAGAAAGAAAAATACATCCTGGCCCTCACAATGAACTAAAATAATTGACAGGATGCAAATAGAATGGGCACCGAATGGCGGGAATAACGGATGTCACCCGTATACTCGTATGAGGATTTGTCCGGACACCCCTGTGCCAGTCACCAGCTTACTGCCTCTCAGCTGCACGTGCATCCTTTTTGGCTGCTCGGTGAAAGCACAGTGGACCCCTTTAAATATTTTCCCTCTGCCCGAACCCTCCGGATGTTCAGTTTTGTCAGCAGAGGGCACTGTAGTGACTCTAGTATAAGAAGAAGGAGCCTGCTTGCTGGTCACAGTGTGGGTCTTTCTGTCTGCAGGCTCCTGGGGCACAGGCGGCTTCCCCAGCCTCTGACTCCTGCAGTGGCCGGGGGTCCCCAGCGTCCAGGGGCCAGCAGCTTCCCCAGGCCACCCCCTTGGGCAGTTTCATCGCACAGAGCGCCTCGGGGACACCTGCGGGCGAACACCTTTCTCCGGCACCTGAAAAGGTATGAAATTTGTCAGATGTGCGCTCTGCTAACAGCAGGCGCTCATTATCCTACGGGCTACCTGTTTTTGAAACTACCTGTGGTCTAGCTCTCCTTTACATCCCACGTCTTACTAACTGTGGACATAGGGAGGGAGAAATCTAGAAGAGAAGCTGAATTTGTGTTATTTCAGCCCGTCTGGGCCTGTGAAAAACAATACTGTTGCTTCGCTCCCACCCAACCGACGCTAACGAGGAAAGCATGGGAGTCTTGAAATCCATGCTGGCAGGTGGAGTTGAGCGAAACTCAGGTTTTTCAGTTAACTCTGAGCTGTAACAAGTCCTGGGGCATCGGCCTCAGGAGTGGTGGACACGGAGCTTTAGTTTTTGCACCTGTTCTAACCTCGGAGCCTTTTACTCACGTGCGACCTGTGTTTGTTTGCGAACTGTAGGTAGAGCTAACTTAAAAGCTTGGTTTCATAAACATTTAGCCTCCCCTTTGCTCCCCCCCTCACCAAAATAAGGCACAGACCTGACCTCTCCAATAAGATCTGGACTTGGGTTGCGTGTGTGTTTGGCGGGGTTCGAGGGGGTGGCCTCTTGCTTGCGGTATGATGAAGACCCAGGCAGTGGCCTCATTATTCCTAACCAGACAGGGGCGATAATGTTTGATTGCCTCTTTATTTTTTTTAAATATATTTTTATTAATTACAGAGAGGAAGGGAGAGGAAGAGAGAGATAGAAACATCAATGATGAAAGGGAATCATGGATTGGCTGCCTCCTGCACGCCCCCCACTGGGGACCAAGCCCACAACCTAGGTATGTGCCCTTGACCGGAATCGAACCCGGGACCCTTCAGTCCACAGGCCGACGCTCTATCCACTGAGCCAGCGGTTCTCAACCTGTGGGTCGCGACCCCTTTGGCGGTCGAACGACCCTTTCACAGGGGTCGCCTAAGACCATCCTGCATATCAGATATTTACGATTCATAACAGTAGCAACATGACAGTGATGAAGTAGCAACGAAAATAATTTCATGGTTGGGTCACAACATGAGGAACTGTATTTAAAGGGCCCGAAGGTTGAGAACCACTGCACTAAGCCAAACCAGCCAGGGCTGATGCCTCTTTAGAAGCATCCCCGTAAGCAAGGACGGGGCAGATTACATCATCTGGTTGTGTTAAACAACGGAGCAGGTGAATTCTGGCAAGACTTGAACAGATTACTCCTGGTCTCAGAGCCTGCGTTAGTGAGACGGGTTTCCCTGTCAACAAGGAGGCAAACTTCACCTGCATAAAACCTTTCCATTAGACTCACCTCGAGCCCTAGCCGGTTTGGCTCAGTGGATAGAGCGTCGGCCTGCGGACTCAAGGGTCCCAGGTTCGATTCCGGTCAAGGGCATGTACCTTGGTTGTGGGCGCATCCCCAGTAGGGAGTGTGCAGGAGGCAGCTGATCGATGTTTCTCTCTCATCGATGTTTCTGACTCTCTATCCCTCTCCCTTCCTCTCTGTAAAAAAACAATAAATTATATTTAAAAAACTCACCTGGAAATGGGAGTTAGCCATCTCCTAGGTGGTATTCGTCAGTAATGACAAGGTTTGTTTGTCCAGACTTTCTGAATGATCAAGAAAACAGAAAAGCAGGCTACCTCTATCCTTCCGGGCCTTCAGATTCTCATTTCTGTTAGTCGCAAGTGTCCCCCAAATTGTATCCAGGGGACCCACTTCCCTTCCCACTGTGATGGTTGAACTCATCCTATTAAAATTTCGATTTTCCAGTTTCTTGGCCTCCACTATTGAGGTCAGCTGCTCGGGCTGTGGTGATGTCATGATGAAATTTTCCCTCTAAACTTAGGATTCCTCCCTGGGTTTTCCTTGTGAAGTGAATCAGGGGAAGGTGACAGGCCTCCAGTCATCCTGCTTCCCCCCCCCTCCCCCCAGGAAAAACAGGGGGAGCCTTGGAAGGGTTGGTGTGCCCTGATTGTCATCTCAAGAGGAAACGCAAGCAACGTCCTTAGGGTCACGGACAGTGTCAAGGTCAGTCTTAGTAATAAAAAGTGCTGAGTTAGAAATTACAAAGAGAGCCCGGCTGGTGTTGCTCAGTAGCTGAGCGTTGGCCTATGAACCAGGAGGTCACGGTTCGATTCCAGGTCAGGGCACAGGCCCAGGTTGTAGGCTGGATCCTCAGTGTGGGGCATGCAGGAGGCAGCCGATCCACGATTCTCTCTAGTCATTGATGGTTCTCTCTCTCTCCATCTCCCTCCCTCTCTGAAAGCAATAAAAATATATTTTAAAAAATTACAGGGATAAGCCATAAGTAACAAACAAAGCAGATCTGTTGAATCTGAGCAAGAACGCAGCTGACGGAAATCAGGTGGGGAGTAGCAGGAGCCTTGCTGTGGTGGCTCCTCTCCAGGCCTTGAGCAGGGACAGACACAGTGAAAAGGATCATAAAACAAGGCACAGAGCAAGACTCTCAATACAACTTGTCTTCCTCTCCTAACACCTCATGCATCTCTCAGCGTCTCTCCATCTGGAGGCCTCTTTCTTGGTCCAAATCTTCATTATCCCTCCAGTGGAGAACTTCTTGCAAAGCCCCACCCCCCTCCCAGTCGGTCTCTGCATGTACTGAGCAGATGGAGTGATTTTTTTTCCAAATACAAATCAGATCCCACGGACTAATCATTCCCGGCGTGGCCTGCAAGGCCCTGCAATGGCCTGGGGGCCCGGTGGTTCTCAGTCCCAGTGAGTTTGTTCCCCAAGGAGCCATTAGGTGGGACAGAGGTGACAATGTCTATCATAAATGCCTAGTTCCAAGAGGGACAGTTACCGGATTCCAGTGTTTTCATAGTTTTGATGTAATTAAAGGAGGCCCCCCTACTGTCATTGAACCCGTGAACATGAGAAAGTGTATCAACCCCACAAGTCACATGTGTCTTGTCATGGATGTGATGTGATAAAGCCATAGTTGATAATTTACTGTGTAATCAGAACTTAGTGTTTTTTTAAAAATATATTTTATTGATTTTTTACAGAGAGGAAGGGAGAGGGATAGAGAGTTAGAAACATCGATCAGCTGCCTCCTGCACACCCCCGACTGGGGATGTGCCCGCAACCAAGGTACATGCCCTTGACCGGAATCGAACCTGGGACCCTTCAGTCCGATAGGCGATGCTCTATCCACTGAGCCAAACCGGTTAGGGCGGAACTTAGTTTTTTATAAAATAATAAAAGCCCAGATTTGGAAGGAAAAAAAAATTTTTTTCTGCTGACATTGGAATAACAGGAACTAAAATGGAAGAAAATTATGCTCCCGAAACTCGATCGGAATAGCAAGAAGTAGATAAAATGCTTTTGGCTTCGTTAACATCGTTGCATGGTGACTACAGCTGTTATTAAAGAGAGAATTATGTATAGGACATTTTTAGCACAAAATAAAATTTCTAGGCATCGGAAAAGCTATGCTTTCAACCGTCTTCGCTAAAGTAGAGATCTTAAGAAGCGAAAATAAAACCGGGAAAACCATGTTAACGTTGACACAGGAAGCCCCTGATCCCATGAGAATATCCCCATCTTGCCTCCTTCATGGTGATGTCGCATTTCCTGCGTGGCGATCTTCTTGTTGTTGTTTTTTTAAAATATATTTTATTGATTTTTTTTTTTCCCCAGGAGGGAGGGAGAGGGATAGAGAGTTAGGAACATCGATGAGAGACATCGATCAGCTGCCTCCTGCACACCCCCTACTGGGGATGTGCCTGCAACCAGGGTACATGCCCTTGACCAGAATCGAACCTGGGACCCTTCAGGTCTGCAGGCCAACGCTCTATCCCAAACCGGTTAGGGCTCTTGTTGTTTTAATGGGCGGACATACAGACCTATTTCCATGGCCAAGTTCAAGTACGAATGGCATGACGTCGAAGGGAGTGGCCCTTTCCAAGTTCACAGCCTTCTGTCCCGTAAGACCACACTGGGACTCAATGAAATGCACAGCCACGTCTGAAATGTGCACACATACTGTCCCCCACCCTGCGCCCCCCGCCCCCCGCCGCCCTGTCACCCCTGCCATGGTCAGCTCTGCTTCCCAAGTAGCTCCTTTCTCCCTCTCCCCGGGAAGGGAATGCCACCCGGCCTCCCTCTCCGGGCGCTTTATTTGCATGCGCTGGCCTTTTTATTGCAAATAGGGCTCTAAATCTTCCGTTGGAAATGGATATTGCCCAGTGTGCGAGCGCACGCGCGAGCCAGGCCATCAATAACGTTAGTTATGAAAACCTGATCATAAGTGTTTTTAGTCCATTAGCCATTTCCCTTTATTTATGTCCCCTCTCAGGCAGGATTCGAGGCCAATATTCCAAAGATGGGGTTTGGATGGAGAGCAGCACAAGGGGTATAAAACACTGTCACGTTCTTTCAGGCTGGGAAATACTTCTTCCTTATGTTATTTCTTCACGCGGTTCCCAACAGTCCAGTAACCCCTAGGGCAGTGATGGCGAACCTATGACACGCATGTCAGAGGTGACATGTGAACTCATTTTTTTGTTGATTTTTCTTTGTTAAGTGGCATTTAAATATATAAAATAAATATCAAACATATAAATCTCTGTTTTACTCTGGTTGCAAATATCAAAAAATTTCTATATGTGACACGGCACCAGAGTTAAGTTAGGGTTTTTCAAAATGCTGGCACACCGAGTTCAAAAGATTCACCATCACTGCCCTAGGGCAAGCATGTCCAACTCAAAGGCTGACACGGGCCAAATAAGCAAGGTTTAAGTATATGTGGGCCGCAAAAAAAAAACAAACGCTTCCATTCTCATAGAAACGTAGGTCTATCTCGATAGAGACATGCAGAATACAAAGGGCTGAAATAAAGGAGTCGTCGTTAACATAAAATCGTAGAGCATTTTAATAAAAATTAATATTTTTTCTTGAACATGAACTTACCAGACACTGAATAACTGCACAAATTAATAAGTGTAACGCAAATAAACCTATTTTTCTTGTTCTCCGAAAGCGAGATATTT